TTCAACACGATTGCGGCGCGTGAGAGAGGCGAGAGGTCGCGCGCATGCTGCTGCTATTCCGACGGACTCTTGACTCAGACTGTCCTGCCATTCGCGCTTCGTGCTTATTCACGATCATTCGCGCTTCGCGAATCGTGAATGACGGGCAGGGAGGGCTGAGTTGAGGGGGCATCAGCATCATGCAGCAACTCGAAGCAGCTTTGACCACCGCGGCGGCTTATTTGCGCAGCCATCACAGCCACACCAGCGCAAATGAAATGTCTCGGCAAGACACAGCCGCTCACACTGTCACTGTCACAAAACGCGCAGAACCAAGCTGACTGCATCTGAAGCGTGAACGAGCTAGACCAGCTATAGGCAGGCAGTCACGAAGCCTCATGCAGCTAGACCCCCAACATCACCGTCAGCTAGTCACAGTCAAAGTACTCGATCTCTCGAGCTATAAAGTGTGAGTGGGTGGTCAGTGGGACAAAATGGCGATGTAGCAAATCAGGGTATCAGCAAGCAAAATGACGTCTACGTTGACTCGTAGCTCGACTCAGACCCGTCCCTGGCTCGGCGAGACTTGAGTCATGGACCTCAAGACTCAGACTGGATCGAGGTACAAGATTCTCGATGCGCTCTGTCTCTGTCTCACAATCATTGAATGAGTGATATACACGTGTCTCCTACAGTTCACGATTGAAGGCTCTGAGCGCTATGCAGGGCATATCGCGCTGTTGCTGGCTGAACGATCGCGCGCTATTCATCATCTCGAGTCGTGAGTCCGATACGTGAGTCGGTCGGTTGCGTCTGAAGTCACGAGTCACGACAGTCGTGAGTCATAGATCTGTGCGTCACGAGTCAGAGTTGTCCCAACGAGCAGGGCTTTGCGTGGCGAACGTGAGAGAGCAAGTACAGTCATGAGTGTCGGCGTGTGCCGTTCTTGGCAATCAAATCAAAATGCATCCTGCGCGAGTTGCCACGTCGCTCTCTCGCTTCAATCCGAGTGGTTCACGACACCGTCTGCCTGCACACTCATCTGGCTGAGTATGCCGCACACATAAGGTATCCACC